AACTTAGTCGTAAATTCTGAAATTTATGAGCAAAGTGATTTGCCATGAAATTGAAGTCTAAGTTTCAGAAGATAATCACAAATATGGTCGATCCACTCATCGATGGTGAAATTATTTTGATTTCGTCTCAAGGCTGTTCCGCTTGCGAGATCACCTCACAAGTCGTCATTAGTTTCTGAACCACTCGAGCTGCATGAAAGTGGAAGACTTGCTTGCCTGCAGGCAGTATATTCCCATCAGACAATACTGTACTTTTAAAATGAAATCTACCTGATTACCAAAGAGGCATGGATGGTGGGAACCATTCAGTCATTACAGAGAACCGGCAATGGGATCCAAATTCATGATCATGCACCTGCCTATCATACACCCTTGTCCAGCATACACACAGGCTGTACCCAGGTCTGTGATGGGCCTTCTGATTTTCCCTGCCGATTAAAACCGAGTTTGAAGGCCGATCAACGTGACTCAAACTTTCAATTTGATTATTATGCGAGGTCAGTCTCTTCTGTTAAAGAATGTCATGCTGATTCCGTTTTACGTACAGTACTTTAGGAAATTAAATTCCATTGAACTGGGTTTGAATTGGTTCTTGATGGTTGACTGACTTCCTTTGCTTTTGTTAGGAAATCTTTGGACATTTCTCCAGCTCTGTCGGACAAGCTTTCGCTCCGGACGTTCTGCGGCAGGCACTGGCGTCCACATTTCAAGATCAACAACGATTTCAATTAGGCAAGATGGACGACGCCGCAGAGTGTTTCGTAAGTAAATATCCGACCGGTTTTATTCACCATAACACGCACATATTTCTTCCTGGTTTCCACGCAGTCTTGCTGGGCTTCGTGACCATAAATATAAACTCATACCTACTTTTGAGAGTCGCTCACGATCAGCGTGTCGTCGCCGTAAGTGCTACGGCATGGCTGTGCTAGCCCCTGGTCAGCACAGCCAGCATCACCAGCACAGCATGCAACTGTTTCGAAACGTGCTTATGATCTGTATAAACACCTCGCCCCAGAACTCCTCATTGTTCACCATGTCTCTTCTCGAGCTAGACCAGAAAGGATAGAGAAGGGCAGTCAGTCACGAAACTATCTTCATTATCTTCAGTTTTCCAGACACGTTGTTGATAATTAGTACTAAAGCACAGACGACACGACAGACTCGTTCACGAGCAAGGTCACATCTGATAGGTCCGATCGTTCTCATAACAAAACTCGACCGTAGTCATCAATCATCGCGAAAGAAACAATGTCCGTCCGGCAAGAAAGGTGTAATGGCTTACAGAGCTTTTTTTCCTGAAAATTGAGAACTGTATCATATTTTCCAGATGTTCTGTATTTCTTTAGAAAGTATTCTCTCGAATGAACTTTGGTTTCGTTCTTAGGAGAATATCCTGCTGAGGATCCATTACCACGTGCAGGTTTCGTCGGAATTGGGCAGCTGTCTCGATCCTACCTGCGTTACTCATCGCATCTTCGCCCTGGACTTGAACGAGAGCGTTTTTTGCCAAGACTGCCATAAAGAGTCGCAATCGTTGACATTTACTCAAATGGTACACTACGTCACGGTTGACGACCTACTACAAAAAAGCGGCGAGCTGAAGCAACGAGGCGTGAAATCGACCAGCGGACTCTTTGGCAAACTCATCCGCAAGTCCAACGAGAACGACCAGGGGCGCTGCTGTCGACACTGCCGATCTTCATCTACGCAGCTAAAGTATGTCCTTCAATTTCATCGTTGCTTCTGTCAAACTTTTATGACTTATGAGTTATGACACATCAGAAGTGTTCGGGTTCCTATGTGTCGGAAAGAAGAGAGGTTTTCGAGACTGCTCACCTACCTGCATACATCTGCTTCACAGCTCTGACACAATTTGATGTATGTAGGCTGATGAAGACCAAAATTTCATGAGGCTGAACACATTTTTCCCCAGTTGTACCGTGAATTAGTGTGTGTAGGTTGGTGAGGACCGAAACGTCGCAAACATGCATACAATTGCTTCGCCAGTGTAGCTGTGCTTGATGTATGCAAGACTCTGTTCGTTTCCGATATGGATTCTATCGTTCGACTTGTTGTTACAGGCACACCTTGACTAATCGTCCGGTGGTCGTGACGATCGGCTTCGCCTGGTCTTCCGAGAAACCTCGAATACAAACGATCTCTGACGTCTTGTCCACAATAGATACCAACATCTGCCTGCTGCAGTTGTGCCATTCCGTCAGCGACACGGAATGGGCGTCAGCTGCCGTCCACCATTTGGTCGGCATGATCTGTTTTTACAGGCATCACTACGTGGCGTTCTGTTACCATTCTCGCTTTCAAACCTGGCTGTGCTTCGATGATTCCCGCGTCAATGTAATCGGACCTGACTGGACGCAAGTCACTGCTCAGTGTCTCAAGCACAACATGCAGCCGCTTCTGCTCTTCTATGCCAACCCAGAATTCGATCTGATTGGGGGAGATGATTTACGATCAGGCACCGCTTCCTCCAGTTCAGTAGGATCCACCTTGTCAAGACAAGCAAAGGAGCCTGCTCGGTGTCTTGAAGATAATGACCAAGATGGTAATGGGATAGGCAAACCGGCCCCTCCGCGACCTCCTGTCAGGACCATCAGCCGACCAGTTCCGAACAAGAAAAGCGATCACGTTTCACCTTCAACGGCTGAACAAACACTTGACCGAATCACACAACTTCCTCATGCAGGTGATGCAACTAGTCTGTCGTTCACGTGTAATATCCCATCTAATCAAACACCCGCCCACCGGAAACTAAGATTTAGTTAACGGAGGAGAAAAAGAAACCGTAACGAAACATGGAAATAGTGGTCACACAGCAAGTGGGACGTCGATAAATTTTAATGTTTTCATCCAGATTGTTACCTTAGACGGCGCACAATTTCATTATTATTGACTCAGAGCCTGCGCCACTTGGAATAAAGATCGGGCAGATTCATTTGCCGACGTCCCAGCAACTCAAGAAAGGGCAGGCGCAGCGAAAGAAGTGTTCGAAACTGTTCGAAAACTCGTACTAATATCTGAATTGATTCGAACACTGATATTAATATCTGAATTTTTTCTATAGACACTCGTCGATGTTCCCGAAAGAGCTCTCGGTCCAGCATGACGTCCAGCAGTGTAGCCAGTACGGAGAGTTACGCTTCTAACTCGTCCTATGACATTTACGCAGCGTCGTACGCACTCCGTAGTCACGGCGGGAACTCGTTAGAAAGCTCAAGCTTGAAAGATGAGACAGACTCTGGGTATCCCAGCGGCGATCATGCCAGTGCCAGCTCAAGCTCGACCAGCGGCTCCTCGGTTGAGGCGCCGGCTGTCAAGCGTGAGACGTTCGGGCCATCACCATCGTCAAGCTTCTCCTCAACATCGAACAGAGTACAGTATATCCAAATGTTATTACGAGCTGATGATCTGATTTCAAGTGCGAGCTTGAAAGAGGAGCACGGTGAGTTGACAGGAGCAATCAAGCTCTTTGGACAAGCGGCTCATCTCCTGCAAAGCTGTCTTGAGCCGTTGCGCGCATGTAAGGAACTGTCGCAGAGTGTCCACACTAAGCATATGGACTGTCAAAGGCGCTTGCGAACACTTCGAGACAAGAGTACGACATGTCGGTCGGGCTCGATTACTGCCAGTACCAGTAGCGCCAGTTACAGCTTGATTGACCATCAGAGTGAGCGGCACATCCCCACCTCCGGCTTAGCCACACTCCCAAGGCACCCAAGTATGATAAGCAAAAAATGGCTGGTAGAACTCTCTTCTGAAACATGGAATAAATTGAAAGAAATATCCTGGCTTCACAAATTCAACAAATGAAAGCACGGCAAACAAAGTCAATAAGAACTTTTGCCCAAGTGGCGCAGGCTTTTAGGTGTTGTCAACGGGAAGTATGCACCACTCGGAAAAGCGATCTTATCGAGTTCGTTTGCCGAGCTTCCGGCTATCAGCCAAGCTTCTTTGATTTGCACAATATCAATTTGGGAAGTGTGTTTTTGCAGAAACGTCACAGTATGTTCCTCCGCAGCAAGACCTTACCACCAAGCGTATGCATAAGTCAAGAAGGAAAGCAACCAGCAAAGGACAGTTGGGAACCTCGCAGCTTAACCGCAGCTTACCGGATCTCTCCGTTCCACAGGCTTCTTCGGAGACCATCTTGCCCACTTCGGCTTCTTCCAAACTGTCCACGTTTGAAGCTCCTCCAGAGTCTGGCGAGACCTTACGGGCCAGGAAGGTTGTCAGACAGAGCCTGTTGAACGAGCTGAACCAAAGACTTCGGAAACTGCCACGGCAGATTTCCCAACCGGTAGCGGATGATGATCTGCCGCCTCCTCCGCCTGAACTGCTGGGGGACTACGATAGGTTCTTGCAGCCCACAATTCACGATTGTACTCTTTGTGGACACAAGCCGTGCAAGTCTCAAGACAGTACGTACTGTGAAGATTGCAGTATTTACATGAGCCGATTCTCTCGCATATAGTTTCGAATTATAACCATTCAGGTAAATCATAGATCCTACTCGAACTCGTACTCGTACTGATGCAAAGACTAGCAGATTATTTTTTTCATTGTTGAACACTTCTGTTAGAATTTAGTTACAGAACTGTTGGGCTTATTTCATCACGACGAATGTAGTTTTTTGCACTTGACTGACTACAGAAGGAGAAAAGATCTATGAATTTTCGTTGTTTTACTCCTGTGAAGACCCGGACGAATGCAACAGAAAACTAGAGCAAAGGTGAGAATGACGGACTGTGGAAAACGGAACAAGCCGAAAGTCGGCAGCGGGGCGTCACTGAACTAGTGCAGTTACGGTCTTTTGACCATCTTTGGGTCCTTTCTCGTGTTCGAATAATTCTGCCATCGAATGGGGAGGGAATGCCGGGAAGGTCATTGACGACTGGGATCTTAGTGCAAATTCTGCCAGGGACGAGAAGAAGGACCTGGAGAAAAAGGTGAATAGGGTAAGGTGCAAAACTGAAAAAGATAGCCACTTCCGTGGATCGAACACGGGACCCTCAGTTTACGAGACTGATGCTCTACCACTGAGCCAAAGTGGCGTCTATACCGATTGACATCATTTATTCCAACAACCTGATCATTCTGCAGCGAAAGTTCGAGTTATCGTTGGAATTATTCATGAAACTGACGCTGAAGGCTTCTGTTCGTTCTTCCTTCTCCACCTCTACGCAGACCGGTCGAAAGGAGCCAGTGCAGATACACAATGAAGTAAGCCTCAACTGCTATTCGGATCCTTTCGGATCGGCACCGACGTTGACCCTGGTACCGGTAACGATATTAGACCTTAGAGGCCCTTTACCGTGTTAAAGTCTTCCAGTCTACGGTTCAAGAGTTCGCCAACCAGATGGGTGCACAGTAAAGCACTGCCGACGCAGTTTTTTTTTCAAAAACTAGGCTTCCATACATCAGTAACCAGGCGGTAAACGTCCATACATTACATTGAACAATATTGAACTCTTGGTAATTATTTCGAAACATCAAACTGGGCCTGACGACTGAAATGATACGAGGTTAGCTCAGTCAAAGTACTAAGGAAATAAACGGTCATTGTTAGAAAAGATGATCAACTACGAAGACGACACCGGAGCTCAATCGCCTAGTCGGTGTCCAGTACCCCAACCTCGTGGTCTGGGTATGGCAGCGTCATCATCTCCTCCATCGCGACGTCTGGCGGGTGGAGGAGCTCCGAAACCTCCCATGACTCTTGTATTTGGAAGTAGTCGAAGAAGGAAGCCTGGAGTTCGAAGCAAGGCTGGTCCACCGAAATCCTGTGGGTACTTGAAGGCCAGGAAGTAGTACAGGTGGCCGACGACGATACCCAGCAGATCGAATATCCCTCTGTAAGATACAGAATGGTTCAATTACTACTCGCCAAGTCAAGAAACCAATGAAGACCAAGGTAAGCGCGACTTTATGTGGATTGAAACGAATTACCCTGATCCCAGAATGAAGTTGAATCCAAACAAGACCCATGGCAGGTACATCGCCTTGAAGCGAGTACCGAACCAGAAGGATACAATCACATCCCTGAAAGACAAAAATACATTTAGATTGGAAAAACATCTCCCGTTTCAGCAATTTGTGCTTCTTTAATTAGTCACCGACAACTTGCGTGGCTGTTACGAGTCCATCAAAACGTACCTGTTCAGTTGGCACCACACATACAGAACGCTAAGAACCATCGGATCCATCAGTAACTGCAACAAACATTACGGCTACGCAGGCTCTAAGTTGCAGCACGAACAGCACTAGGTTCTTCGAAAAGTGTACCATAAGGTCCGTGCATAGCCCAACCAGAACGAGGCAAGCCCAGTTGAATATCAGCATGAACAAGTAGTCGGCCCGGCGACCCACGAAGTGACCTGTCAAAGAGGAAGAAAATGCGTCCGAATTTACTATGAAGTCGGTCACAGACTACGCAGAAACCCTACCGCTTTCAAGCTGGGAAGAATAATTGTACATGAAATACAGGTTGAGTAAAAAATGAAAGCCCGTCCGGGGAGATATGGGAAAGTAGAACAGGGCTGTAATGGGTCTCCATATCTGCAACGACAACAAAACTTAGATCAAGTTTCAAACAAACTTGCTAGAATCTAAACGTGGCTGAGGACGGTAATCGGGCTGACCTGGAAATGTTTTAGCGTCAGAAGAGCGTCCAGAACGAGATAATAGGAATTGACTATCCCGAATCTGCCCAGCAGGGGAAGGATAACTGATCCCGTGAACCAATACCTGCGACAAACACAACGGTAATGTCGGATGGCGTTCTTCCGCCAACTAAACCCGAGAATCTGCGGACGGACCCACATTCACCCTGCGAAACTTACTTTGTAATTTGAGGGATGCTGTTGAACCAGATGGATAGCTCGTTGGAGGCCATTCCAGTGAGTACTATCTGTAAAACAACAAATCAAAATCATGTTACGTGCGAATGCACCGTCATAAATACGGTCTTTATACGGACATGCAACATCTTCTCGTAAGGACTTCACATTATTCTCAGGTGTCCAAAAAATTGACATTGGCAAGCTGTCCACAACGATCGTATACCGACAGAGCGTATGAACATAACATACCTGAATGGCTGGATCACCTTGCTGGAGCAGCGCCTCCGCTTACTGACACGGAGAGAATGGCACGTACCGTCCCCGCTGGCCACTCCGCAAGACTTTTTCATCTGACAGTCACGAGCAACAAAGCCCCTGATCAGCGAGGTCCCGAGTTTTGAAGATGGTGGTGAAAAGTATCCCAGAAGAAGAAGCGTGATGGCCGGATAGGAGACCTTAGAATGAATCATGAGTGAATAGACAACAAAGACGCATTGGGAGGAGCAACAACGTGGTCGAATGAACTGCGATCGCTTTATCGCAATCTTCGTACTTCAACCGGAAGTGGCCTATGGCAAATTGGTTAGATAAGACTTAACCACCGTTGACTTCCATGCATTATCCCGAGGATGATTCGATACCGTCGTCTGAAGATGACCATCGAAGATGTTCCTGAAATGTTTTGGTAGAATCATCGCTCAGATGGTCGGCCCTCCACTTGCAACTTGGCATCATGAGCTTACCAAGAAGAATCAGAGAGTTTAACTGGAGTGGATATCTTCGAATTGTTGGTTACACCCAGGGAGCGCTCATTTTGGGCGTAGGAAGTCTTTATTACATCATGGAATATAATCAAGGCAAGATTTCACTGGAGTGATCACGGCTGCTGAGGCGACGCACTGTCGCTTTTGACAGAGTACAAGTGTGTACACGATGTTCGGGATCATCTGATCACTTACACCGTACCGAAAGCGCCTTGTCAATTAGCGCAGCATTTTTACAGTCGTGCTACTCCTTGAATTTATTTGCGATCAGCCTGTACCTTTGTCAGTTATCAACTGTACTGATGTTCTGTTATAGATCTTCGGTACTGGATGCGAAGCCACCACCCAGGTGTTTTAAGAAGTGAGTCTTGATAATGGGACCTCGTATGAATAAGCCCTTACGGGTTCCCCATTCCGGCACTCTGGTAGTTATAAGCGCGAACCGGAAGTTGGTTTTGCAGCCTTCTACACATTGGCGGAAGACATCGAGAAGAACTTCGAGGTTCGCCGCCTGGATACAGAGGCTTGGGAAAAGAAGGACGTGCTAGAAAAATCTAAAAACCAGACCAACAAGACCTGGACGAAGGAACATAAGATCCAGACCGCAGCATCGAAGAGTCCTCCACCTTCTGTTCAATAGCCTACCACTTCCGGAAGTCGAATGGTTCACGGACCTTAAAGATAGATGTGTCACGCTGAAGCCGCTGAGGAAAGTGCAGGCAGAGGCCCGGAGCCAGAATTTGATCGTGCGTTTAGTTTGGGTCTCAGTTTGTCCTCGTCTTGGACAATGTATGTATTTTGCTACCAGTCCTCTGCATTATGAGAACCTCCGGATTTTGAACGTCGATCTGTGATTTTGAATAGTTTTGTTACTCCTGATGCTTTGTAATGCGTCAGCATTTGCAGTGGTATGCATCAGCAGACTGAAACGGCAAAGATCGCCTTTCATGGAACGACAGCCTACGCAAGTCTTTTCTCTGGATCTCTGATACAATACTCATCTTCCACGTTTCGATCGTTATTCCAGTTGATGAGACACACAATCGCGTGACTTGCGGTTGTTGCCGTCTCCTGCGAATATCCCTTCTGTTATGGATGCTTTACGTCAAGACTTCTTCGTTCCTTCAGGACCAGGACCTGGTCACGTAGTATAGCCAGCATGACATGACACATTCTTAACATAAGCACGTAAGATTGATAAGATATCTCGCTCGTTCGCACGTCCATTTGGGCACGCTGCATGCCGTTCCGCAGATCCGTAATTGACGGAGCACGTTCTTTTAATCAATCGATCCAGCTTACCTGTGTTAGGGGTTAAATGACTGCTCAGTTTTCTGTTTTCGCAATTCGCATTCTTTCATCAGATAAGAAACAAAGAGAATTCGTTCTAATTACTGCTCAAATAACTGTATTGTTTATCTCCACGATTGTCTAGGTACTGGGATGAAGGACGGATTGGGTTTGTCCCTGGACACACGGAGGACACAGTGGAGGATCTGGGGAATCCGTGTGTAACCTTGGATGGACAAGCGATAACAGCTGTGCGACGCTTTGACGCGCGACTTCCGGACGATTTTGCAACATGGACCTTTGTCCATCTACGTCGGGCGCGGACGTCGAGTTCGGCTCTTGCCTATCGACTCACTCTCATGGAGGACTTCAGCCGGAAGAGTCCATGGATGTGTGTTCATCCGACGCAGTGCCCGAAATACAAAATACCCTGCACAATGGCTTTTGCTCACCAGATTGCTCTGTATGTCGTGATATCACTCAGATGATTGGCATCTCTTCCTGCCAAGAAACCAAGCCTATTCCCGTTCCTCCTGTTGTACTTGTTGGAAGGGCTCCAGATGCTTCTGTGATAAACCAGTGGCCACCATTTGGCTGCCGAGGTACGGAGCACATAAAGCTTTTATGGACTAACAGAATATCGGTCAAAAATACGCACTTTCACACATATGGATACTCTCATCCTATTCCGAACCCTCCATTTGAATATCTGCAGGTGTATGATGAAACTGATATTTTAATGATCTTTATAGGTGTGCGTTGCACCAAAGGAACGCAACCTTGTCCTGGACCAATATGTTTTCGGAGAAGAAGACCGGAAGGGGATGAGTCGGAACCTGCAAGAAAGATTCACTGCAAGAATGTCCAGTATCCGTCCGATGCTTTTCTAGCCATGAATGAATTCCGGAAAGCGGAAGGACAAACTCTATGTGACGTAAAGCTTCAAGCTGCTGGCCATCTCTTCCCTGCTCATCGCATCGTTCTTGCCGCTTCCTCCCCCTATTTCCGCGCCATGTTCACCATGGGGATGAAGGAAGCCAATGAAGAAGTGATTCGGCTAGAAAAGATGTGTCCGAGGATATTAGGGAAACTAATCGACTTCTGCTACACGTCCGAGATCACCATCGGTGAACATAATATCTGTCATATTCTTCCTGC